AAGTTGCACTTCGCATACACAAGCAAAAAATGACCGATAACGCTACTGGGAAAAACTGCATAAGTAAAACTTTGAGTCTTCTAAATTTCTGAAGTGACCCACGCCAATTATGACGCATTAGCAGTACCAGTCAAAACGAAACTTACCAACTAACATACCTCAGTTTATAGAGCAGTCTATGGATGGAGCAGTAATAACATGAAAAAGTTTAACGTACAAAAATGATTTTTTTTTCAATTTGAGTCTTTTTTGTGAAAATCATCTCCCAGCACGCCATATTAAATGCAGTTCCTTCAATCAATTTGTTATGATTTCAATGACGGATTAAATCTCCGCTTACGCGTTAATAGCGCGAAATATATCGCGCATTAATTGTCCCAAATTGGCAATTTTTACACCAACATAACTTTACGAAAAATGATCACAGGTGAAATATCTTTCCAAATTTCAACTCAGGACAAAAAAAACTTTTTGAATGATATAAAAAAATTTCCGTCAAAAATGGCTAGTTGAAAAGTCGAAACTTGCCTGCAGAAAAAAAAATTACCCCCGACCACAATTATTCCGTTACTTTTGTTTCGAAAGTCGTAACAAAAATAGTCTGTGTTAAAATCCTTAGCATTGGCTGTACACATTAGTTGGTTATTGATCAAAATGAACACTTTCAAAATGAACATATTTTATCGCAACAATATTTGCGACTTACGTCGGAAAAAAGATAGTTTATACGTTAACACAGGCATTGCTTGTGTAATAAACCTCACCGCACTTCAATTCAATCTTTGATATTAGAAATTCTGTTGATAGCTGCGTTTTTTACTGGTCTTGCATTCCTTTTTTAACTGAAATTTCGATTTTCAAAGTATCATGTTGAAGATCTGTAAATTTTAAGAAAAACTGTCGAAACTTGTGTTGTTTGGAATGATTTTCAATTTGAGAAAAACACGGTCAGTGATACAATCGCCGCCATGAAATATGTATTCAGAATCATTAAACGAGCGGCAACTAGGTCGACAAAACTTGGGTAAACAGACGCTGAGATGAAATTGCTGACAATAAAAGCTCTCAAATTCTAAGATTTTGATCATTTTGTGATCATAATCGAGTCTTCAAGACGATAAAAATTAATTCGAAACCATTTAGGCAGAATACAGCTTAAAAGCAAAAAAAAGGAAAATACAAAGTCAGGGCTAGTAAACTTACAAATTACATAAGTTACTCAAAAAGACTTTAGCACAAACAGTGGAATTAACACAAACAGCCATGATAAACCCACAAACTTTTTCAAACTGATTATTTCAAAGTAAACGGCAAGTAACATTTATATTGCACGGTTGCAGCAGTAGCCCTGTATTTAATTAGGTTTGCCTTTCGTAAAAAGAAGAACTATAGGGTTTGAGCGTTCGCACTTTCTCATCTCTGAAACAGATCTGCCAAGAAACAGATGTATGGTATAGAAACCTTGGATTAACATAAAAAATTGACTTCAATGGTACCATTCGCTAAGCAATTATACAAAACCTTGACTTCGCACCTGTTTAATTGTTTTAAACATAGCCAATGAAAAAAAAAATTTGACTTGTTAAGATTTGATATTAAAAAAATCGTATCTTTCGAATTTCGAAGAAAATCGATGGCCGTAAAGCTCTTTGAATGTCTAAGTCAATTTATGATTGACACATTTTGACAAAAAATAACCGTTTTGATTAAAATAAATTAAGCTGGTTTTCGCGTTTTTACCGCTTTTGCTGTTCGATAGTGATGTTTGCAAAAAAACAAAGGAAATGAACTGAAAATTTAAAAAAGAGGAAAAAAATCATCATGACCTCTATAAGAGTCTGAACTATGTTCATCGAGTCTGAAATACGTTTGTGTCATTTCAAAAAAATAACATAGGAATTCTTAACACAGGCGAAGCCGAGCTTCGCACCATTTGCGATATAAATGAAGAAAGCCACTAAGTCGTAAAAAAATCGGTAAAACTAGATCGAGTAATATGAATCAGGCTAGTTTTGAAACAAAAAGATGCACAGACAATAGAATGGGAAATTAGAATCGAAAGAAAATTTACTAAGCGGTTATAAAGCCAAAAATACCTCAGCAGAAACCCTTTAAGCCGAACAAGACTTAAGACTTAAAAAATTCCCTTTCCACCTCAACACTTATAAGCCCCCCTCCACCTCAAAAACAAACACAAAAAACTTTATTTTAAAGTCAAGTGAAACCATATGACGCCGCTAAGCCAATATAATATAGGCGAAACCTATTAAGCTGAAAAAAAGTCAAAAATACTAACAAAAAGTTTTTAAGTCCCTCTCGCCCTCAAAATACAGACACGCACACACATACTTTTTTCGGGCATCGACATGTTTTTAAATCCCCCTCGCCCTCAAAACACAGACACCCACACACAGACTTTTTTCGCGCATAACATAGCCGAAACCTATCAAGCCGAAAAAGAACAGGAAGAAAAGCTGAAAAAATATGATTTTTAGCATTTGTGTGATCCGGAGGTGAGCATCAAAATTATGTTTCCCTTAAAAAACTTACATTTAGGTCACTAAGCCCATAAAACATTTGGGGCAGAATAAAGGTTTTAAGTAACAAAAAATGAAAATATAAGAAGTCAAAGTTAGTAAAATTACTATGCAATTACAATGCTAACTGCCAACAGCAAGAAAATTTTACTGAGCCGACAAAACAAAAGCAGACAAATAATCAGCCGATAGCTTTTTTGAAATGGAATATTTGCTGTTTAAAAAAATAATGTCTAGATCGATAGATTCGGAGCAGAACAAAGTAATACGCTTCTAAATATTTTCACCCGATTTCAGCCTACTGCTTACACGCTATGAAGAAAATCCTGACAAAAGTTGGGAAATGTTTTCAGCGTCGAAGAGAACAGCTTATGTTTTCTGCATTTGGGCATTCAAATTTACTAACAGATTATCTGCATCAGAGCCAAAACACTAGCAATTGTTTATAGAGCAGTCTATGGATGGAGCAGTAATAACATGAAAAAGTTAAACGTATAAAAAAAGGAAACGTGAAAATCATCTCCCAACATGCCATATTAAGTGCAGTTCCTTCAATCAATTTGTAATCATTTCAATGACGGATTAAATCTCCGCTTACGCGTTAATAGCGCGAAAAATATCGCGCATTAATTGTCCCAAATTGGCCAAAATGGCAATTTTTACACCAACATAACTTTACGAAAAATGATCACAGGTGATATATCTTTCCAAATTTAAGCTCAGGACAAAAAAAACTTTTTGCATGATATAAAAAAATGTCCGTCAAAAATGGCTAGTTGAAAAGTCGAAATTTGCCTGCAGAAAAAAAACTACCCCCGAGCACAAATATTCCGTTACTTTTGTTTCGAAAGTCGTAACAAAAATAGTCTGTGTTAAAATCCTTAGCATTGGCTGTACTTATTAGTTGGTTATTGATCAAAATGAACACTTTCAAAATGAACATATTTTATCGCAACAATATTTGCGACTTAGGTCGGAAAAAAGATAGTTCATACTATAACACAGGCATTGCTTGTGTAATAAACCTTACTGCACTTCAATTCAATCTTTTATATTATAAATTCTGTTGATAGCTGCGTTTTTTTACTGGTCTTGCGTTCCTTTTTTAACTGAAATTTCGAATTTCAAAATATCACGCTGAAGATCGGTAAATTTTAGGAAAAACTGTCGAAAAAGCGCAAGTACAAAAACTTGTGTTGTTTGGAATGATTTTCAATTTGAGAAAAACACGGTCAGTGATACAATCGCCGCCATGAGATATGTATTCAGAATCATTAAGCGAGCGGCAACTAGGTCGACAAAACTTGGGTAAACACACGCTGAGATGAAATTAAAAAAGCATGAGAGAAACTGCGTCGGAGAAAACAGCTTATGTTTTCTGCATTTGGGCATTCAAATTTACTAACAGATTATCTGCATCAGAGCCAAAAAACTAGCAATTGTTTATGTAGAGCAACCTAAATCTCTAGTTCCGGTAACTTCTTCCAAAAGTAGCAGTATAAATATCAGTTTATGCAGGAAGATCTTCCGAAAAATTAAATCATCATTCCAAAAGTGAAAACCATATGACGCCGCTAAGCCAATATAAAATAGGCGAAACCTATTAAGCTGGAAAAAAAAAATCAAAAAAACTAACAGAAAGTTTTTAAGTCCCTCTCGCCCTCAAAATACAGACACGCACACACAGACGTTTTTCGGGAAAGGTTTTCTGCGTCGGAGAGAACAGCTTATGTTTTCTGCATTTGGGCATTCAAATTTACTAACAGATTATCTGCATCAGAGCCAAAACACTAGCAATTGTTTATGTAGAGCAACCTAAATCTCTAGTTCCGGTAATTTCTTCCAAAAGTAGCAGTATAAATATCAGTTTATGCAGGAAGATCTTCCGAAAAATTAAATCATCATTCCAAAAGTGAAAACCATATGACGCCGCTAAGCCAATATAATATAGGCGAAACCTATTAAGCTGGAAAAAAAATCACAAAAACTAACAGAAAGTTTTTAAGTCCCTCTCGCCCTCAAAATACAGACACGCACACACAGACTTTTTTCGGGAAAGGTTTTCTGCGTCGGAGAGAACAGCTTATGTTTTCTGCATTTGGGCATTCAAATTTACTAACAGATTATCTGCATCAGAGCCAAAACACTAGCAATTGTTTATGTAGAGCAACCTAAATCTCTAGTTCCGATAACTTCTTCCAAAAGTAGCAGTATAAATATCAGTTTATGCAGGAAGATCTTACGAAAAAGTAAATCATCATTCCAAAAATTGAATGCCCCTAGTTAATCCGAGATCAAATAACTCAACAACCTTAGACAAAACTTCCCGCTACCTTTTAGTACCACATGGAAATCAGGATTCCTGTATCTGTCTCCATCTATATGCAACTTGTTTTGACTTCTACAACTTCATCTGTTGTTTCGGAGTATGAATCGGTCGGAAGGAGAAATTCAAACTAAAACTTATGTTCATGAAAACTAAATTCTAGGCAATAAAAAGTTGATAGCTAATCACATAGGATACAAAATAGAATGCGATTTCAAACAAACCCGAAACTTTTTTAAATACTATGTCCCAAAAAAATTAACTGCTTTAATTACAGCCAACTTTTGGCTTCATCTTCATTTTTCCAATAATTTTTTCGTTTGAGTAATTCAGCCGACTTCAAGAATTTTCGTCCGCAGATCTTGTACTACTTATTACTTCCAAGTTTTTGTGCATTTTCTGTTCTTTCACTTGCATGTTACTTTTCGACTTCGAGCTTTTACGGGCACTAGAAGGCATTGCTGAATAAATGCATTCATTTAGTAGGGCACGGTCTTCCAGCCCAACGTCTCCGCCACTTGATGCATTTGAGACTTCGCCAATTGACCTCCGACGACCTAGTGCATCTTCATCTTGATCTCCGAAACTTCTTCCATTAAAAGCCTCAAATGAGTTGCCATTGGAATCTCGATCTTCATTCTGCAAATTGTTCCGAGAAAGTGATTTTCGTGACTGACTTTGTCCCTTTGAGTTGCCAGATCCGGATCTGTTAAGGGATCCACTCGAGCTAGAGCGCTTATCCAAATCAGATCCATTGCTCGCAGACCTCCTGTAACTGGTAGGAACCGGAATTTTGGATACACTCCTACCGGAGTCCTTTCGCTCTAGTTTACCAGGCGAACGGTTGGTAGGGCCACTGCAACTAATAGCATTGCTAGATATCGGAGGTCTACTTGCAACATTTGCCACTGGTGTTTCATTCAACTCTTCTTCACAACTCAGAGAACTTAAGGAATCGTTTCTGGAATAGGAAGCTGGAGTACCCTCTACGTTATACACTTTAGGTGAGTCGAATCCTCCCGTTGCGTTGCTATATTTACTGACGCTTCCAGCTCCTGGCGAATTCATAGACCAAGATTTCATTTGCTGTCTCTTTTCTGGCGCAAGATGGTTTCGTTTAGCGCTCGAACTATTGATAGAGCTTTGAGGAGGGAAATTTTGCGGTGCTATATACACTCCACTCGCTGGAACTGCATCATCCGGTACCGATAAATCTGAAAGAGAAGTCCGTGTTGAGAAATTTAGTGGCGTTCCCTCAGTTTGATAAGTTTTTACCATGTCCATATTTCCTCCATTTCCTCTCGGGGAACTGATTCCCGATTCAGTTTGAGAAGTTCGCCTTAAATATAAATCCATGTAAGAGTTCTGTGGTCTAGCAACGGCATATGAAGAGCCACCAGGAACCTTTAGTCCAGGTGACTTTCGACCACTGTTCGAATCGACACTTCGCCCGCTACTACTGCGGGTTAATCCAGGACTCTTCCGACCTGAATTGCTATTGACATAAGGCGCAGAAGAGTAGACTACTCCAGAGTTCGACCGTAGCTGAGACGGTCCCTTAATCCCACTTGGCTGTTTAGAAGAGCTCGATTTTTTAACTCTCGGTTTTCTCTCGGGCATTCCTGAGCTTATTGCTTCCATAAGCACGCTATGGTCTTCTTCATTGCTTTCTTGTAAATTCACATCGTCGTCTTCGTCATCTAGCAATGCAGAATCACCATCGCTTATTCTTCGAATGGTTTGCTCGTTCAGATTGCGATCCGCTTCATCATGAGATGTGTCTAGTTTGGACCAATCACGAGGCGCCATTGCCTCGTCATTGCCTTCAGCCATTTGCTGCGACAATTGCGCGGTTTCAGTCAGCTTAAGTTTTCTCGGTATGTTTATCTGAACAAATGGCTGTTGTTCAGTCGAATCACTGGATAAATCTGTGAACTGGTGATGAAACTTATTTGCCAGTTCTTTCACCTTTGGATCATCGTCAAACGTGAGCGCACTTAAACTGGAGGCACACGAAAAATCGTTCTTGACTTGTTCTTCAATAAATGCCCCAGGTTGATCTGCGGCCTCATTTGGAGGACCAGAAATGTTTGCTGGATTCTGCTTGGAAACAACTGGATTGGAGTTTCCAAAATTTCTACCACCGTCCATTTGCAGAGTGGAGCTCGGCTGGCTGGCAGCCAAGCGGGACGCCATCATAGCTTCGTTAGGAGAGTCTGGAATATCGCTCGGCGACACTGCTCCAGAAATTGCCCTGGACCCCTGTTCACTAGCAAAATTACTGTTGCTGTTAATGGACTGCGTTTCAAAATCTCCCAAAGAAGATATGGAGCTTCTGCGGCTAAACATCAAAGGAGTATCTCCCATCAGAGGCGTCCCGGTTGCTGATCCTTTCTTGGACATAATTCCTTCTGAATCTTGTTCCTGGTGGACACTTGACGAGACGCTCTCTAAAGGTCCCCTTGGCATAGATGGAGCTGCTGCTCTGCGTTCAGATTCCAACATCATAATGCGGGCTGTCGAGGAGACGTTCATTTCGGCTACATTATCTGCCGGTTTGAATCTGACCTGTCTATATACTGCAGCCGGTGAATTGATCGCACCATGAGGAGGCTGCAAAGTTTCGTTCATACTATCATTGTGCTCCTCGTTGTGTTCGTAATTTACCTCTTCGAAACAAACCGGTGGCCTACTAATAGGCACACCAGTGATATCATTATTTTCTATTATATTTCGACTCATGTTTGATGTCATCGAGAAATCCAATTCCTCATATGTACTCATTGCGTCGTTTTCCGGGAACCGTGCACTGAAATCCGTCGGCTGCTCGTAATAATCCGACTCTTCAATATGATTGGACAATGGATATGAACTGAACCCTGGATCTTCGTTTATGACTTCTGCTGCTCCTAAATCTGCCTGAGACTCGCTTCCATAGTATTTTAGCGTATAGTTCACAACTTCATCGTCTCCTTGTGAACTGGCCACAGATCGTTTATCTTGATCATCCAACTGTCCTTGTGACATTTTCTGCTGACTTTCAAAGCCAGTAATTCGTCGTTGCCTGTCAACTGCATATTGTTCTTGGTAACTGCTATATGCCTCGTTATTTGCATTGTGAGTTGAAGGCCCAAGTTGCATTGGGTTAAAAGTAACACTTGATTTGACACCATTATTCGATAGAACCACCCGTGGATCAAAGCTTGAGTTGGCATCTCCTTGGTACTGGTCTTTCTGCCAATCGTGATCCCCATTACTCTGAGCAAGTTTCATCTGATTGCTATTCACATTGAAATCTCGTTGATGCATTAATTGATTCAAGCCTGATTGCTTATTTCCACTACCTGGACCTTCATGTCCGAATGTATGTTCCTGGAAATGATCCGGATCTCCAACATTTGAATGAGCCGCTATCGGTTCATCAAACATCACGGCTGGTCTGACTAACTTCGCCACTCCTCCACCCACAGGTGAAGAGCCAATTGGATCATTGTTTACATGAGGACTACCCATGCTGCCATTTAAGAAATTGGGTGAGTTAGTCGAAAGCTGTGTCTGGATTCCTCTAAGCTGGCTCTTGGCTTGCATCAAGTTCTTCCTAGCTCCAAGAGCTGGATTTGCGATTTTCGAGTTACTGTTGTTCAAAAGATCTTTCAGGATATTCGGAGCACCTAAAACACACTTGAAACTACATTTGAAAATTAACTAGCGCATGACTCGCACCTACGGTGCTTCAAATAGATAGGAAGCTCTTTTTATGCTCAACGATCATGTACTAAAACAGCGATTTTTCATGCAACCGTGGAGATAAACTAGGCTCATCTATCAGAGGTTTCTACTTCATATAAAACAATGTAACCGGATTGATTTGAGCAGATAAAGTTAGAGGGCAGATTTGCTACCCTATATTGTTCTCTGACAGCATCCCACCATAGAGTTAAAAATTTCAATTTCTATAAGTTGTTTTTAAATCATGTTTTTGTGAAAAAGTAATAATAAAAAAATATATATTTCAAGATCAGTTAGTTTTTTTTAATTCAAGTTTCTTGAAAAAAAAAAATTAAAAAACCATGAAAATTGCCACATCTCTGAAACAAAAAGGATATGAGCAGTCAGAATCGGAAGAAAAGAATGCAAAACATGAGTGTACCCTGACAGCACCCCACTATAAGGTTGAGAACTTCAAGTTCGGTGAGTTTTTTTGTCTTTTTTGATGGAAGGGAAGTTTTTGAAAAAATCATAAAAAAACGCTATATCTCGAAGATCAAAAGAAACTGAGCAGTCAAACTTGAACGACAGATTTGCAACCAACTGAATGTACCTTGAAAGCACCACACTATAAGGTTGAGAGTTTCAAGTTCGGTAAGTTTTTTGAAAAATAAAAATGAAAAAAAAAATCATAAAAAACGCCATAACTCGATAACCATAACGATTTGAGCAGTCATACTTGGATGCATGATTTTCATCTTCTAAAGGTATCCTGGAAGTACCCCACTACAGGGTTGAGAATTTAAAGTCAGTTATTATTTTGTCTAAATTTTTTGAAAAAAAAACTAAAAAATCATATAAAACGCCATATCTCGAAAACCAAAAAAAATTGAGCACTCATACTTGGTGGCCAGATTTGCAACCATTGAATATAACCTCACAGTGTCCCACTATAGGGTTGAGAACTTCAAAATTGTTTAAGTAAATTGTGAAACAAAAATTTTGATATTTTTACGTTGCGAATACAGGAAGAATGTAAGAGTTAAAGCATTCGCGCTCCAACAGATTTTGAGACAATGACTTGAGTAAACTTTTCAAACGTTGCAATGTCTTGGCTTTTTAACAGAACAACAGAGGTACTTCTTAAACATGTGTCAAAAGAAATTTCTTAAGCATTTTCATATACGATATAGCTTAAACGTGCAAAAACTATTTCGTTAAACATGCAAAAAAATAATACGTTGGAAAGCTTAAACATGCAAACATAGGGACTTCTTAAACAAGTGTCAATTAAAACGCCAATTATACGCCAATTATATAATAGACAGACAGATAATTAGATTTTTTAAACATGTAAACATAGGGACATCCTAACCATGTGTCAAATGAAACGCCAATTAAATAATAGATTAGATAGATAGATAGATAGATAGATAGATAGATAGATATATAGATAGACAGATAGATAGATAGATAGACAGATAGATAGATAGATAGATAGATAGATAGATAGATAGATAGATAGATAGATAGATAGATAGATAGATAGATAGATATATAGATAGATAGATAGATAGATAGATAGATAGATAGATAGATAGATATAGATAGATAGATAGATAGATAGATAGATAGATAGATAGAGATCAATAGATAGATAGATCAATAGATAGATAGACCAATAGATAGATAGACAGATAGATAGATAGATAGATCGATAGAAGATAGATAGATGAAACTTCAACTAAATCGGATGCAAATAATCGGTGTTCCTTTTGTTTCTAGAAAAAACTACTACCTTCGCGAAATGTATTTAGTCTTAAATATTTAAACAACGCGCGGCAAGAATGTTTGAAAAAAGCACTGTGCTTTGTAGATAAAACGTTTGTGTTTAAATCCTTCTTGCATATCATAGCTGAGCGAACAAGCAAAATTGAAAAGACTAAACTTCACAAGTTTCATATCTTACCAAGCATCCAGAGAATCTCCTGATCCAATTTATCTCTCGAGGACAAATAGAACAAACAGGAAACTGAGTTGGCCACAATATCTGGCATATCATATCTCTTGCAGAGATCCAGAAGGACATCGTATGTCTTCATCTGCCTCAGAAGACCTCTAAGTTCACCTCTGGTCGCGATATGTCCACAAAGACTGCTCAACAAACCAGTTGCATTGTACACCGTCTGTTGATTTCCATACTGACAGCTGTTGCTTAGATCCAACTTGGTCAGTGAGACTATTTTTTCCAAGCACCCATTCACAGAACAAATTTCGACTCTGTTTTCCATACAATGACTAGCGAGGTTCCAGAGAGCAGAGGAAATAGCACGCAGCGCCATCAAGTTGTTAAACGTGACTAGTGCTCGTGACAGTAAGATTACAACGTTCAAATCTCTCAGAACCATAATCTGACTTCGCTCCGGTTGCCAAGCCAAGTTCCGAACTAAGTCTGCAGTCACGTGGACTAAGTCTTCACGCTTTGAACTCAGTTGCAGTGCCAAACACTTCATGACTTTCGAGTAATGAATCAAGGTTGACTTAGCCGCCTGGTTCTTATGAGTCATATTGGTAAGCAGTTCCGCAACATGCCTTCGCAATTTAGTGGAAAGATCCAATAATGTTGACATATGGATAGAGTTTGCTCCCTGTGGCTGCTTTTTTGAAACTTTGAACAACAAGCCAAAGTCTATCAGAAGAAGTTCACAGACTGCAGGAATTCCACCTAAACACGCCGAAAAAAATTGAATTTTAAAAGCAACCCAAAATCAATATCATAAGTAAACGTCGAATGGCACCGATTTATAAATCATATTCAAGCCTTTGAGTCATGACTCGTTACAATAAAAAGGTCGAAAAAAAATTTTGCATTTAGAGAAGTACGGTTTTTTCTACTGTTGAGCTAGTCAAATTCGATTGCCAAATTCAACTATCCATCATTTTAGAGAAACTTACGTTCATTATGTGTTTCGTTACTGTTCCTACTTTCGAAGTGAGTTAGGAATATTGATGCTTGGTGTGGTTTTTTTTATTCAGTCAATTTTTGACTGATTAACTAAGCGTTTTTGACAGAATTTTTCTATACCATCTGAGAGATATTGTTATCCCAAGCTCAAATTTAAAGATATTTCACCTGTGACCATTTTTTATAAAGTTAAGAGCGTTTGAAAATTGCTAACTTGGCCAACTTCGGATAATTAAAGTGCGATATATTGCGTACTTAGAACACGCGTAATAATCGAATTAATGCGTTCCAAATTGAATTGAGACCAGCAATTTAATCCTATTATCATAATATGAGACGCTAAATACACTCTTAGTATTTTACGGTGTCCCACTCTTTAACTGCACGTTATTTAACCTCCAATTTTTACACCCCCAACAACTTAACCGCTTTTTATTACAGATAATTTTTTTCAAATTAAGTCCTTTTTACGAGTACAGGAGTATTCCAACTAAGTGTTCTAATTGAGGCCTCAAAAAGCCAGTCTTATTTCACTTGATGACTCTAGCATCCCAGAATTAATTGCATTTCGATTAGTTAGAGAAATAATCCCTCACTCACGCGTTTAAAACAGAGATAACCTATATGGTGCTAATTGAAAGCAACTCAAGAAATTCACATAAAAAATTACCGCCTCAAATTTGAACGATTGTTTTACACTTGAAAGAGTCGTAAAAATTGCAAAAGCTGACGAGCTCTGCCTGTAATTTGGATCTTATTACATAAGAAGTCTAGTCCCGAACCGAGAAGTCCTATTACCCCTTCACTATGGAACCAAGGAGGTGCAGTTTGGCAAGAACAACAAATGCTGTGGAGGGCTGGCATTAATCATGACCAGCAGTAAGTTTTTAGTGGTTCACACCCTAGTATTTGGAAAGTAATCGCAAACTTGCAAAAAGACGCCTCCCTTGAAAAACTTAGTTTCTTTAATGCCTCGAGCGGGCACCAATTGAGAAAAAAAAAATACCGAGTCCTAACCAAAAAAAGTGCAGAATATTATGCAGATTTACGAAGAGAAAATTGATTTGCATTTCTTTCGCGCTATGGCGAACTTAAGCTAAGCATTTGCTCATTGTATATATTTTAAAATCAAAATGTTTGTCAACTTTTTTGAGTATTAAAAACGGAGACGTAAAAAAAACGTATTGGCTTGACTCGCATTTGAAAAAGGTATTGGCTTGTCTCTAGCAATTTAATCCCAGAAAAATCGCTCCTTACGTGGGACGCTAGGTTGAGACAAGGGGCTGGCAAACCCTTTAGACAATGCGTTGTATGCCGACAGTTGAAAAAAATGACAAAGTTTAGATGGTTCGAAAAATAAGTTAAATTTTACATTAAAACGATTGGCATTTGAAAAAAAAACTGAGATTAGATCGATCAAAGTTTTGGTCACAACCAGTTTTCATTCCATAGTTCATTTAAATTCAGCCAATTAATCTATTATAAGCAAGATTATTGTCAAAATCAAATTCAATTTGGGAGATATCTAATCATTTTTGTTTAATAATTTGAATCATGCCGATCGGATTAGTTTTCAAATTCATATCAAAGTCTAGACTATCGGCAAGGTCATTTCGCAAAAAATTTCGCAATTAAAGCTTTGATGTTTAACGACGCTATGGTTCCGAATTCCTTTCCAGTAAGTTTCACTTTGATTCTAACAATTGGCATTGAAAAGCATAATTGTAGTGGGGTTATCTACTTCTGGGGTTATATGAGAGGGGGTAAAGAAAAAGGGGTTAAAAAATGCGGGGTGATAAACTTGGAAACCGTATTTTACATAGCGTGCGGGGGGATAAAATTAAATCTAAAAAAACTTTCTTAATTATGTTGTCAATTATTTATCCAAAATTTTTTTAAATTGGCCTTAAGTGCAGTCGGAACATTTAGGGCTTTGCCCTGATATACGAGCAGTCTTGTCAAATTATTTAAAAACGCTTGAGCCTTTGGGTCGCAGAGGAAATGCTAATGGAAACCCAGCGATAACAATACTAACCCAGAGACTGGAATGAGATGAGCTCGTCGGGCATGAAGGATAACTTAGTCAGTGTGTTCACCAGTTGCACCAGTGGGTCCAATCTCTTAACATGCAAAGACACGTTTCGAAACATGTGAGATTCGGCCGCTGAGGCATCTCGAGCACCTTGCTCCACTGAGATATAGTCACAGTACTCTCTGCACACAGTCTCGCAGTATGTTCGGATACTTGACAGATAGCTCAGCATCTGAAAGCATCGGCTATGACATTTTGACAAAAATCGATGTCAACAAAGACACAATGCTTTTAGAAAGCATTCCGTAAGATGAATCACTTTACATCTGTGATAACAATTGATAAAAACAAACGATTATTTGCATATCTCAGATGTATGTCTGGTTTGTTAACATGTGAGTTAGATGTGTTAAGAGTGGTGAACAAGTTTTGATTTCACGAACACTGTTTGTTACCTTGATGTCCCTGTTGGTCTGTTTAGACTGAGTCTGCGAATGGATGATGTTGTTTAGTGCCTCTGTCGCCCTCTGTCTCACACTCACACTCTTCTTGTCCAGGTCCTCCATCAGGTCACAAATACTCCCCAAGAGCAGCTCCTCCTCAGAAGACGATGACGAGGAGTCTTTATTCCCACCCTGAGATCCAGACACATCTCCACTGCCAGTTGCATCCAGTTCACAATGAATCAGCTGGATGACCAAAGGCAGGCAACCTTCACACAAATTCTTTCACATCTTTAATGATTCAGAGGCAAACTCGTATTGAAGCTTTGGATGGTAACAATTTGGCCAAAGCTTATAACAAATTCTCATCCTTATTCGCAGTTTCTAATACTTGAAAATTATGCGAATCAGGCAAAGAACAGCCTTTTCACAATTGACCCACAGAGCAACATGATACAACAAAACGCTAGGGTTTTCATAAAGAAAACCATCGTAACTTAAACTGAGTGAGATTGGAAACTTCTTCAACTTTGACTTTCGATTTTAAAAATTTTGCTTCATTTCGAAAACCGCATGACCTAAAATGTGATTTAACAACGTATTTACACCAAATGATCCGACATTAATGAGTGCTTTCATGACTTTCAGCTCGTAATACGACAACTTGCAACAAAAGACAACTCGCAAGAACACACAACTCGCAAAATACTCACCACCGCAGTTGCGAGCTTGCCAACAGATGGAAGGTCTTTATATAAAATTTAGGGCCGGTTGTTGCCGCGATGTGCGCATAGCACACCCGCCGTCAACCTTAAACCAAAATTATAAAGCTTCCTTTAAAAAAAAACTTGCGAGCTGTCGTTTTTCTTCAGTTTTACTAGTTGTCTTTAATTGCGAGTTGTGGCCGTACCTTTTCAGCCATATCACTTAACAATATCGGATCTAACCTGACTGTCGCATGGCCGTGCAGCTCTCTGGCGTGGATGACATAAGGAAGAAAGTCTTGGACATCTCCTCGTAGTTGTTGTCATTGAAACTTCCCAAAAACTTGTACATCATCTCGACCTAGAAAAACAATATTTTACTGAAAACAACACTTTGCTTAAATAAGAAACTTTTATTAGACGGCGGTATAATAGTGACTCGTAGGCTACACAATCATAAAAAGTGGGAAGGAGTCTCGAAGTTGCTAAAGTTCACATATAAAGCAATTTCAGTTTCTTCAGAAGTTATTTAAGAAAAAAGTCTAGTTCCCGATTAAAAGACACTTGCTATCGCAATTATAACACAGAGGCGTAGCAGAGCTTCGCAACACTTGCGATATAACTAAAACATCGCAATAGTGATAATGAAGAAAAATTTCTCGAAAAGAGTCAAAACTTCACACCTTTGTCGCGGAAAAAAATTTAAAAACAACGCAAAAAGTGTTTTGGTGGAGCTTTCCTTCCGCTTAACAAACAAAAAGAACTTAAACTTAAAAATATCAAAAGTCAAAGTGCGAAAAATCAAATCTGAGCGAGCACAACTTTTACACAGAGGCGAAGCCTATCTTCCCGCCATTTGCGATACCACAAAAACACAGCACTGCCAAATCGCAGACAAAAAGTGAAAGGAAAGCCATTAACTCGAAAAAAAACATAACCAACAGAAGATTGGATGAGTAAAAAAGAACAAGAAATTTGAATAAAAAATATTTGAAAAATTTTACCTTTTTCAGCTTTCGAAGCAAAAAAATAGATCAGTTTAAAGCAGCACTTTGAATTTCATGAACAGCTCATGATTGAAACATTTTTAATAACTTGATGGACCCTTCATTGGGCTGCACCCCTCAAAGCCAAAAACAAAACAATTGACAGAAATGTTTTTACGCTATAAAATTTGAAACGCAAATTTTTTACGACCCATCCCGCCTGAATCCCACCAGAGCATAAAAAAATATTTTCCTTCGAAACGGTGCAATATAAGTTGACTTTGAATTTCAAATAAAAAAAATTAGATGGCCTTAAAGCTCTTTGAATTTGTAGAACAATTTATGATGGACATTTTTTTGTTAAAATTAACCCAATTTGAGAAAACTGGATCAATAGGTAAAACTATTATTTCGCTGGGAAATTTGATAATTATTTTTCATTTTCAAAATAAGAAGTCGGTAAAGTTTTTCGTTACCTTCACAATTTGCTAGTGGATAGTAGAGTTTGCCTTCCTTTTAACAATAGAACACACAGGCGAAATAGCCAAAAATACCTGAGCACAAACTCTTCCAGCCAAAACTTTTTCAAATTCAAAATTAACTTAAAAGGTTTACGTTCCCTTTCCCGTCATAACACGTATAGGCAGACAAAAATTTTTTTCGCGCATCCAATGACGCAAAAAGAGGCAATTAAGCCGATATAAAACAAGCCGAAGCCTATCAAGCCGAAAAAAAAAATCAACAAACCGAGTGTCAAAAACACAACCAACTTAAATAGTGCGGAGGGGAGCGTATAAATGTGTTTCCGTTGAAACGACGCAAAAGTCGATCAATAAGTGGATAAATAATAGGCCGAAAAAAATTATACCGTATAAAATTTTTAAGCAAAAAAAAAGAAGATACGAAGTCAAGGTTAGTCAAATTGTAAATTGCAGAAATAATCAAAGTAAAAGCAATACTTAAGAGAAATGTGCGCCGCAGAAAAAAATACGATTCCAAGATGTGGCAAGTCAGCCGACAAAAGATAAGCTGACAAATAAAAGGGTGACAATTTTATTTGAAACAGTATATTTCTCGTTTGAAAAAAAAACAGGTCCTGTTTAGATTCACACACAGGAATTTTCCGTCCCAGGCGTATTCGTTACCTTCAGGCTAAGCGGGCCGGGAACGCTAAGAAAATTGATGAACATTATGAACTGAACTTATACCATTCTGTGAACAAAGTTATTTACGAAGAAAACAGTCTAGCAACGGATTGCAATGCCCTTGCTTTTTTAAGAATAAACACCTTTTTTTGGAATTAAGGCTGAACAAGTAATATATGGCTGAACAATTAATAAGGCTGAACAAGTAAGTAAGGCTGAAAACTAAATAAAATAGATTTCATAAGGAAAAACGCAAAATGAGCCGACAGAAATTTAAGACGAAAACCACAAATCCAAAATCACCTTTCTTTTTTATTTTTTATTTAACATCTACGCCTGCATTTGATATTACTTACGATACCTTCGATGATTTAGAACCTATGATATTAGCGCAGCCTGTACTTGGAAGAAAATTCAGCTGTTTTTTGTTTCAAAAAAGTTGTTTACGCGGAAAAACGTCTAGTTCCCGATTACAAGTACAATTGGTCTCGCAAGTGAAATCAAATATACCTTTTTTGAAATGACACCAAAAACCACATTTGAATTAAAAACTTACTCAACGAAAAAGCATATTTGGTTTATCTTAATGGCCTTTGATTTGTTTTTGATTGAGTAGACCTTTTCGACTTCTCATTGGTTGGCTGTCTGAAACTGGGACTATGGTTACTGAAGCCAAAAACAGATCAAATATTGATTTAAGCAGACAAAGAATTCACATTATTTATAACGGATTGCAATTTCCACAGATCTGAGTGCAAACTTGAATCCAACCAGAAACCTCTTTTACCTTTCCTGCTCAATTGCAGTTCCTCAAGAAAAACGAGCGGGCCTACTAACCACAATGTCGCACGGGTATAGGTCGTACCATCCCGGATACGCGAACACGCACTTGAGATCTGTCGGAATATTTTCCACTTTTAACAAATCCTTTCTCCATCGCCAAGTGTCCGAATGACTTCTCACTTTACCCCGTTTCTCAGATGCCGATCTTTTTAATTTTGAGTTTTCTTGTCCCATTCCATTAATAAGTTTTCCCAGATATATTCAAATAATTTATGGGAGTCACTGAAGGTCAATCTGTTTTTTATTGTAATTTGGAAATAGTCTGCAAATAAAGATGCTCTAATTCGTATATGATTCGAAAACAATAGTTTCAACGGTTTGCTGAGCAAATAAGTCACTTAAAAGTTAAAAACTCGTATACTTTGGCCAATGATCTGGAAACACAAATGGCCGACTCAAAATGCTATATGTATTCAACTTGACTATATTAGTAGAATCTGAATTGCGCGACAGATGCGAATTAAAAGGACTAACTAAAGCATTGCAGTAGTTTTTAGCTGCCAAACTGACCAAACACATTTACTTCAAACACAACAATTATAATTCTTAACGAAAAATAAACATTTTTAATTTTTAGTCAAAAGGCAAAACATCTAATTACGTTATACGTTTAACAATCAAAGCAAATCCAGAATATGAGTTGAAACATTGTATCCTGACCACTGAGCTCTAAAAGCATAGACTAATGTTGGGACAAGTCCAATAGGACAATTATTCCAAAAATTCGGCTCTTTTCCAGTTTCCCCCCCCCCTTTCAAATTCAATTTTGAAAAGCTTATTTAACGTTGTCATAATGCAATGAAATTTGGCATGGTGAACAAATCGACAACTGTGAACAGATTTGTTCTTCATACTTCACATCGTAACATCACGCATTTAGCCATAATAAGACGTAAAACAAACATAAAACTCGGTATTTTAAAAGGGGGGGGAACTGGAAAAGAGCCAAAAATTCGTCCAAGAAAATGACGTGAAAATTCCAAGAAAATTCGTCCGAGAGTGTTTTTCTCGGGATGTTTTTTTTCTCCAGGATTTTTTATATCATCTGAAAACTATTGATGTCATGAACTCGAAAATTAAAAGCTATTTTACCTGTGATTTTTTTCCAAAAAGGGATGAGGGTTTGAAAATTGCCCCTATGGAACAAATCACGTGCGATATTTCTTTTGTTATTAACGCAAAAGCCGCAATTTAATCCGGCTCAGTGATTTTTCAAATGGAATGGCAGCTGTTAGGCAAGATAGTCGTTCTAATTAATAGGCTAATATCTGCTAAATATAACTTAGTTATTCAAATAACCTGTAAAAAAAAATGAGTGACAATGCTTACTTTCGGCTAAACATGTGCTTCGGAGTTTACACACAGAATAGACGCACCACTTCGATAAAAATCAAACAGCATTGTAAAATAGCCAAAAAATATCAGACGAAAACCACCAAATCAAAAAAACATTGAGAAACGAACTATATCTATCAAACTTTTCAAATTTCAGTCTCAAATGGTCTTGACAGAACTTCATTTGAGAACAATAATATTCCAAGAAAAACATTTGGATGTCAATTTGGCAACAGAACAAAACTTTCCGAAGCTGTAGCAAAGCCAAAAAAACTTCAGCAGACCGTTTAGCCGAAAAAAATGGTTTTGGAACTGAGTCAAAACTGAGCTTCGCACCACTTGCGATAAAAAAAACAAGAAAAAAATTCAAAAAAAGTTCAAAAACGCAAAAAACTAGATCTATCAAAATGAATAAGGCTAATTTTGAAACAAAAACACGCCAAACCACTCGAATGTGAAATAAGCATCGGAAAAATTTCTGCCCAGCGATTAAAAAAAAGCAGAAAATACTATGTCAGATATCCTTCAAGCCGAAAGAAAATCAATACGACTTAACACTTATGAAAAGCTAAGTCCACTCGCCCTCAAAATACACAAACATTCAAAAGACTTTATTTGCTCGTCAATTGAAACAACATGAGGTCATTAAGCCGATACAAAATAAACCCAAACCTATTAAGTCAAAAACAGCAAAATAAAGAAAAAGCAAGAAAAAAAATTTAAAACTAATAAGAAGTTATCCACAGTCCCCCTCACCCTCATAACAAAGACAAACACATTAAAAAAATTTCGCACGTCGGAAGACGCAATAAGACCAAAAAGCCGATATAATACACGCCGAAAGCTATCAAACAAAAAAAAAGGAAAACAAACCCGAAAAATGTTGTCAGTATAATTTCTATTAAGATTTTAAGCATTTTTTGCGATCCAGATGTGCGCATAAAAAATAAGTGTCCGGCGAAAATATTCAAAATTAGGTCATAAAGCCTATAAAAAATAGGCCAAAATCATTTAAGCCGAAAAAAAAGAAGACAATATACGAAGTCATGGTT